CCCTGGCAGATGAGGCGGGCGGCCTGTGCCAGCAGCACCTGCACGCCCAGGGAGCTGCCCAGGCAGTACAGCCCGTAGAGCAGCGGCCCGCCGGCGCCCAGGAGCAGCAGGAGCCGCCGCCGCCGCAGCACCTGCTCGCCCAGCGCCTCCACGCCGTAGTTGGCGAAGCAGATGGGCAGGAGAAGGGCGGCCAGCAGCACAGGGGTGCGGGAGCGGTGCAGGCGGCCGAGCCAGCGCCGCCCCAGCGCGGTCAGCGAGGTCTTGAAGGGGTGCAGGAAGGTGCCGCAGAGCACGGCCCAGAGCAGCGGCCGCAGGAACGCCTCCAGGATGAAGTACACCAGGACGGCGGCGCCGCAGCACAGCCCCGCGAACAGCAGCGCCCCGGTGTTGTAGAAGGCCTGTTTGATCGGCTTCTCCAGCCGCGGCAGCGACATCCCCGCCGCCCCGCCCGGGCCGCCCAGCGACAGCCGCGGCATAGCCGCACCCGCGCCCTCCGCGCCGGGGGACCCGTCCGACCGCCGCTCCCGCGGCGGCGAGGCCGGAGGGGCCGCGCCGGGACCCGCATCGGAACTCGCGTCCGGAGCCGCGGCGGGAGCCGGCGGGGGCTGCGCTGTGCCGTCAGCCATGGCGCAGCACGGGCACCGCCGCCGCTCCGGCCCCGCTGCCGGCGGGCGACGCGCAGCTGCTGCGGCGGCGGGCGAGGGCTGGGAGCGGGGCCGGGGCTGCCGGGGCGGAGGGGGCGGAGTGGCGGCCGCGGTTAAGGTGCCGCCGCCGAGCGGCTCCGGGCACGGCGCGGGCGTGCGCCCAGCCCGGCGGGAAAGGGGCGGTGCCGGCCGGGAAGGGCGCTGGGAAATGTAGTTCCGCTCCGGGAGAGCCGGCGGCCGCGCTCCCGTCCCTCGGCGCCCTTATCCCGCCGAGCGCGGGCCGGGGCTTCTCAGCGCCTTCCTGATGCTGGCTGGAGAAGGCGGCCAAGGGCAGGAGCGTGGAATTGCCCAGCAGCTTGCTGCATATCCCCATCCCAGAAGTGTAGTCCTGTCGCTGCTACTTCCTTAAATGCTGTCCTATCCCTACTGCTGCTCTAGTCTCGGGGAGCAGAAAAAATTCGGGGCTCTGGACTGTCATTCAGAGATGTGAAGTGTCAGTTGGAGGGCAAGACCGGTTAGACCATCTTAAGAATTTTGTCTTGTCTGAGCATGTTCTGGCACCAAATTATTTAACAAGGAAGCATCTGTGCTTTCACTGGGAATCAGGCCCACTGAAAAGGTAGTTGTTCTGTCTGGTTTTTTAGATCTGACATTTGTGATATTTGGCTGCATCAAGTGCGATTTGCAAATAATCTAGCGGGGAACTAATTTCCTGCAGCTGTCATATACCAGACCCCTGAGTCCAGGCATAAGGGCAACAGCTAACATTTTACAGGTGGTCTAAATGCCTCTGTAATAAATACGCTTGGTCTCAGCAAATTTTGCAAGGGCTGAAATCCATGGTATTTGAACTAGCTCAGTGCTGGCACTGTGCTAGTCAAACAGTTTTCCCTCCACAGCTTAACACAACCCTTCAGCAGGTACTAAAGCTATTGGTTGTGATATCATAAAACCCTCAGAGAGATCTTCCTCTTTGTTTTAAATGAGAGGCACCGTATCCTCTACAACATAGTACAGAGGTCACATACCTCTGAAAATGTAAAAAGTCCATACAGGAGTTTGATTTTTTTTTTTTTCATTTTTTATACCATTTGGGATTTACATGCATATTTAACCTTATGTAACTTAATGTTAGATCAGAGTCCGCCAGGACTTTGGTGGAGCATTTCTTGCATAATGGATAAGTTCAAAAGCTGACATTACCCTGAACACAACTGTCTTTAACTTGTAAAGTGAGAATACATCTATTCATAGCTAAGCTTTTAAATGCAGAGCAATACAAAGACAACAGACCATAAATGAGACCTACCCCTATCATCATCCCAAGGAGGAAAGGTAGAGGTTTCTCCACACGCTTCTTGTAACTATGTTGCATCCAAAAGGCCTAGGTGGAACTGGGTCCAGCCAGTTTCCCAGAGCTTTTGCACTGCAGTCCCGACTTGTCCATGCTGCAAATCCTTTCCTGCCAGATACACAGAGGTTCAATTCTTGTAAAGGTTCCTCTTAGATCCTGCAGCTACTTGTTTTCCTTTGCTGAACAAATCACAAGTAGATTCAACAAAGTGCTTTAATTTTATGTATTTATAAACCTACAGACACTTTGTTTGATGCTGATGGTGATGAGGCATTGCAAGCAGTTGTCCATATGAGAAGCTTTTATTGAACCTTAAACTGATACTGTCACTCACTGCTCTTTGATCAGATAGATCTGCCTCCTGGCAGGGTGCTGAAATACATATCAAGCATGCATCAGTACCTGAACATTTTCTCTTTAGTTCAGAAGCATTCCAAACTTTAATAGCTCATTACAATATGTTTTATTGCATTAAAGTTCAATTACCAAGTGTCAATTAAGATTTACACAGGGGGAGAGCAGAGAGCTGAAATCCTTCTGTTAGCTAAACAGAGATGCCATCAAACCAAATCTTCAGAGGCACATCCTTATTCCTTTGATTTTTCTTAACTGACTTGGGTAGCCATGTTCTTCAGAAAGAAAAATTAATGTCACCTCGCTGACTTGAGTGAAGCTATAAACATTGGTTTACATAAGCTGTGGATTTGGTCCCTACTGTATAAAACCTTTCCCTTCCAATTATGTCTTTCACTATCCTTTATAAACAACTAAACCTATCAGAAAGGAAAAAAAAAAACCAAACCCACTCAATTCCCCAAACAACAATGCAATAAAATAAAGATTTCTAACTCATGTATTACCACCACATGAATACATAAGAATAGGGACATGACCATAAATATCAGAAAAAAATCTCTGAAGTGACAGCTGAGGGAGGATGCGTGATCTTCACAAGACACACCCCAGCGTCTAAAACGTAATTCCACAAAATATTTCAAACAGCAACTGCAGCCTTAACAGCTGGGTTTTGTTTAAGATTTGAAACAGTAAGAGATTTTAGATTAGATGCCCATTTAGGTATAAATTGCACTGATACATTGTGGTTTAGGCATTTTTATGGTTGTAGATAAGTAGCACACCTCAGGCTCCTCTACTACCAGAAATTCTCCAACAGTCTCTTCAGTTGTATTTTTGCTATTAGCAATTCTTCAGAGGTGAAGAGAGCAGCAAAGGAATGCTTTTGTGTCAGTGCAGAAAAGATGTATGCACCTTAAAGTACACATGTGGTAAGTATGGACAGTCTTCAGTGCTCTCCTATGTAGAGGGAAGTATAAAATGAGGTATTAGTAAGAGAGAAACTTGTAACTTCTGTCTGCTTCTGCACTAGCACCCACGATGTTGTGAAGTGAAGCCTTTTGAGTCCCCTTCAAGAGATCACAGACACCCCTAGCTCTTTGTTCAACACAGATCACAAACTGTCCTACACATGATATCAAAATACTCGGCACTGAGGTGGCCACGAAGCAGAGGAGATAGACAGTGGTGGCAACAGCAAGTTAATCATTATTTACATCCAAAATGATCACATGAAGCTATAAAATAACTCAGAAATGAAGCCACAAGGTGTCAGCACTGGCCTGCGTGTTTAGAAAACAATGCTATCCTGCTTGAGAGATTTTGTTTTAACTTCTTGTAATGAACATTTGTGAAAATTCAGTTGAGGTTAATCTCACTTTATTAATTCACCTCAGTTTAATGAAAAAGTTATACCATCTTCAGATCAATGAAAAATACTCAGTGTAAACTAATACAGTTTCTATAGTAGCAGAACCAAAGGAAAAAAAAGTCTTAATGTTAAAGTTAATGATTAAGATAACTTTGTATCTTTAGGTCTGAGAATCTTGGTCAGTAAAAGAGGGGAATGAAATGCATGGTTGTAAGGCAGAGCAGTCAACTGCATGAACACAAAAATGTTCAATCAGTGGAAAAAGCATGCAAACAGCACGAGGAAGACCTGTGGACCCAGAGCACTATCTTTCAGGTTAGCCCACGTGGTAGCTGTGTGCATGGAACAAGAGCTGGATATACAGAGATCTGAATAACAGAAGAATGGTTTGGATTCATAGGCTTTGTGACAAAATGCCTTGCTGATCCATCAGTGGTTACGTACCACAAGATAAACAGAACATAATTTAAGACCCTCTGCTGGGTATATTTAAGGCCTCTGTTGATCACAGTCACTTGGACAGTGCACAGGTAAGTGACACTCACGAGATCCGTCCTTTCTTGCACCCTGCAGCTACAGGGTAGCAATACTACAAACACAACAAACAGACCACAAAGTATAAAAGCAATACATTTCTTGTTGCCCTGAGCCAACTTGTCTTCTCAGCCCACCAGCAAGGGGCTAAAATACCTGTTCAAATCTGAGAGATCTCAGAAATCAAAGCATCCCTTTTTGAGAGATCTCTACAGCTGCTTTTGCTTGCTGAGTACGATGGGACTTCCTCCTCTCTGTTGCCAATCTCTAATATAATTTAATTTTCTTCTTGTCTGCAAAAGCCTGCTCTGTTTGCTTCAGGACCTGCTCTGTCTGGCCAGGGAATAGGGCAGTGATGACAGCAGATAAAGAACACCCAAATTTGTAATCTTGCAACTTGATCATATTTGTATCAAATAGGTTACAAAAACACAACATAAAGGTCACCACAGGAAACTCTACATTCTATATACTTATAGTAGGTTAATACTTTGTTAAAGTACAGATGATCACATTTATTTACAGCTTCACTGTGATTCTCATATTGAGAAAAAAAAAAGTAGTCTTCCCACATCTGTTAATTTGCTACTGTGACAAGCCTCACTGACTTAAATGGAAATACTAGGGCTAATAAATTCAAGCCTATGGCATGGGAAGGAATTGTTAACACAGGGCAGCAGCAGAGACTTCTTTAACCTCAGAGACTTCCCCCCCTCCCCTTTTATAAATGCCATACCACACATTTTCTTAGACTAAAAAGGCATTTATTATAACAGTTTTATAAATATTGTTGTCTGTCACTGTCAAATAGCTAACAAGGCTCACTTGAACACCAACATTTAGTATAAAACAGATGTTACAAAGCAATACTTTAGGGCATGCACTGACTGTGAAGTAGTCCCGTAGATCACAGCAATTTCATTATGTATTCATCCAGTGTTATTTTTTCTGAAAAGACTAGAGCATAAATACAAAGAAGTTTGGCCATTTCTTCTGGACTACAAAACCTCCATTCTGTGCTCCTACCCAACCAAATGCTCACTGACTTCACACGGATGGTGGGTATTGGCACACAGAACAGTGCCCAGCGTAGAGTGCAGAACACCACATAACACTATAATTACAGGTTGCTTATTTGTACGTTTCATCTGTATACTGATCTTGAGAACGCTGAACAAAGTCAAAAGGTAGAAACAGCATTTCAGGTTCAGTTGTTACACTTCATGTAATACAAAACAAGTGGCAAGAGTTCACGCAGTTACGACAACCTGCTTACTTGCAGGGAGGTTAAAGCAAACCAGATCTCAGGATATATAAATCAGAAATGCCAAGGCATACCAGGCATCTGTTTTAACCTAAACAGAATTCATGATACTTCAAATATGCTAACAAAATATATCTTTCTAAATAAAGGCTGGGAATATCACACACAAATGTCAGGGTCCCACCATTTCACTTTTCTAATAGGTTTGGAATTTAATCTTTGACTCTCTATTTCAAGACCTGAGTGATACTTCTAGCTTTAAAAGAAATCTATTGTGGTAGTTTTTTCTATTTCAATGTTTATTCCTTGTTTCATGTCGCCAACTGTGAAAAACTGAAAAAGAAATCACTGCTTTATATGGGAGCAGCCAAGTATTTCAGAAGCAGATATCATATTCTGTAGTTAAATAACAAGAATTTTTCCAATTTTCCCTCTTAGGTTTAACTATGGCATCTATACTTCCTTTCCTATTATACTAATATTCTGTATGACAATATTCTCATGACTTACAGAACTTATCCTTGTTTCATCTTATTTGGAAAAAAAAGTGAAAATAATACTGCAATAAGACTAATGTAAGGCTAATTTCTGTACTGAAGAAAGTGAAGGAAGGTTAGTATATAAGAACTGCAAACATAATATCCACACAAGTAAAATATCAGGTTTATAAATATTTTTCTGGATCATTCTGCCTCCCCAAAATCAGCTAGGAGCCAGGGAATATGTAGGATTCTGTGTTTTGTCTTGTCTCCAGTGCAGAATCTACCCTTTTTAGGCTTTCTTGTATAATTTTCAGACTTTACACACACACACAAATACCTTCAGCAAAATCACATTGCCTAAATATTAATTCTGTGAAGATTATTTTTCATTAATCTGAACTTTGCAGATCACTGTTGTGAAAAATCAGCAGGAATATTTTTATTCCTCGGCCCACAACCTAAGTGAGTTATTTAGTCTCCTACCAGCACCATCTTATGAAAATGAACTGAATTATGTAAAAACTAAGAGAGCAATGTGAAACTAAATTAGGCAGCACATTGCAATCACTAGTTGCCATAAAATGTTCACTGCCCTGAGTAAGCATTGGAGCCATAAAAGATTTGCAGCTGCTCAGCACTTTTGAAAAATCCAATTACTTCTTTAAAAATGTAAATATGAATTTGAGTACATATAATTTAGAAACAGCTCAGAAAAGTACTGGTAATTCTGTAATGCTCTAGTCTATAAAGAGCTCAACACCTTTACAGCAAATTTCTTAAGAATGACATGTAAAAGTTCACCTTTTAAGGACATTCCTAAACAGCCTCTAATTGCAGATCAAGATGAGCCTATATGGAGCAGCAACTCTTCTAAGATAGGGGCTGTGAAGTCCTGCACGTATTCCAACCTCACACTGGTTTGAAAGAACATTCCTACTGATAAGAAACACAGAAAGAGGGTGAAAGCAACAGTTGTGGATGTCTATGAAACTACTGTCAGAGGAAGTTCAGATGGGGCATTAGGAAAAAGTTCTTCTTTGAGAGGATGTCTGGTGACTGAATGGGCTCTGCAGGGAAGAGATCATGGCACCAAGCCTGTCAGAGTTCAAGGAGCATCTAAATGATTCTCTTAAACATATGGTTTAGTTTTAGGCAATCCTGTGAAGAGCAAGGAGTTGGACTCTAAGATCCTTATGGGTTCCTTCCAAACTGAGATGTAGAATTAGTCTATGAGTGCGATTCAAATTACTTAGCCATCCAAGGAAAAAAATAAATCTGCCCCTTCCCTTACAGCAGATTCATTGCTATTGCTAAGGCATAACACAGATTTTCAAAGCAAGTCATATCTTTAAGTCTGCATTTTCACACCTATCAACTCCACAAGCTGCACACATCCTCCTCGACATTTCAAAATTACACTGCTTTTGCCTCACTATCTAAGCCCAAATTAGACAAGTTAAATAACCAGGTTCAAGCATACTTAATTTTACCAAACCCACATTGAAAATAAAAAAAAAGGGAAGGTACCAAAGTGATTATTTCATACTAATAAGAGAACTTTGGCAAAGCAAGGCTTACCTATATCTTACTCTATACCTAGACATAAAAATTGCATAGAAATAACTAGATATGAAAAAAAAATGTGAAAAGTTGACATATAGTAAGAAAAATTTTTCTTTTTATTGATTTTTGTACACAGGAAATTGAGATTGTTTTTAAAACCTCCCAGTTAGATCCATATCTGTCCTGGGCAGTTTGGTGAACAGCTGTCCTAACACTCTGCTACAGAAATACTAATAATGAAATTTTTATTAGAGGAATTAGATAATGTACAGTGAAAACTGTTAAGAAAATATATGGAGCCCCCATCTTTTGATATTTAAACTGCAGCAAGCAGGGAGTACCTGCTCACTGGCCATTTTACAAACTGAGCAGGTACTCCCCACTGCAGCCGACTGTCATGACTGCCTACGGGGTCTTGACAGGTTTTCACACCTCTGAGGGCACGATCAAGCCTCTAGCTCTTACCTCGGTTGATGGGAGTAGACATCTTGTGGTATAGTCTGACCTGATGCCCACATCAGTCCTTACACAGCTCAGACCCACACAGAAGCTAAACTCTCACTGAAGTCAGACCAGACTCTGTTCCTTCTCATCATATAAAGTAATATTTGCTTGTGATAAAGAGTGTCACACAGGCTCTGCCACATGTAAACTCGTACAAAAATAGAAAGTATGCCAAAACCATTAGCCCTTTCTTGTCAGTCACCCTTACTTCCAGTCTCTCCATTCTTCTGTTCCAAACTATTTGATGTCACCACTGCCTGTCTGTGTAGCATTCAATCAAACTGCTTTGCCAGTTTCATTACATGCTGTGGAGTCAAGGTTGAAACATATCATGTCAATTCATGAAAGTTATGCATATCCACAGCTCCATGAAGCACTGAAACACAGTAATATTTAAACGTGTTTCTATCATAAATGTGCTTCTGTCATAAATCTAAGGCTCAATACAAAGTCCTACTTTGTATAAAATACTAACACTCCAAAGTTACCTCTGAAAACAAGTGATATTAGACCTTTTGTAATTCTCTGAAATACACATTTCCTTCTTCTAAAGCTCTTACCAAATACTTTTCTTGGGGAAACTATTTGGAGTTGTTAAAAAAAGTGTGTGTGGGAAGTACATCTGCTGCACAGCAGCGTTGCAAACCAATGAAACCACAGAATCACCAAATGCAGTTTAAATGCTAATAGAAGTTTTGTAATTTGCATATAAACTTGAATTCTACCTCTAAAGTACTGCAGGGTGCAAACTTCCATTGGACCCAGAAAAGACCTGAAAGAGCAGAGAGAGGGTCTGTTCTCTAAAACAAGAATAATTTCTTCTTAGTAAAATGCATTGGAGGTATGAGAAAGTAAGGAGAAGACAGAATCAAACAGAGAGACCTGCATCTTCCCATAAACTTATAGCAGTCGTTTACTTACGAATAACTGAGTATCATCAACAACACAGATGTCTAATTGTGACATGGAAAATCATGAAGACAGATGTGTGCCAGTCCTCCTTTACCTACTAACTCCTTTACAGCCTGGAAGGCTGCTCTAAGGTGTCCCCAGAACCTTCTCATCTCCAGGCTGAACAACCCCAACTCTCTCAGCCCACCTTCATAGGAGAGGTGTTCCAGTCCTCTCATCACCTTAGTGGCCCTCCTCTAGACTCATTCCAACAGGTCCACATCCTTCTTGTGTTGGGGGCCCCAGAGCTGGATGCAGTACTCCAGGTGGGGTATCAGGAGAGCAGAGGGGCAAAATCACTTCCTTTGACCCGCTACTCACATTTCTTACGATGCAGCCCAGGATACGGTCGGCTTTCTGGGTTGCAAGTGCACATTGCCAGATCATGTTGAGCTGCTTGTCAACAAGAAGATATGCATATTTAAGAGATTTGGTGCAGGATGGGTCATGCTGTTTGTTATTTCCGTTTTGTAGTAGACATTTAGTATATGAAAGGCTCTTCTTTTTGGTTCAGACCCAGGATATGGTGCCCTAAGTGAGCTTCAATACTGCTGATGTACACCATACTTTAATCCCTGTGCTGAAGTCTGGGAAAGCCAGTGCCCAACACAGCTTTGAAAACATTTAACCCAATCTGGGCTTTTCCTCAGGTTACGGAGGCCACAAATGTTAATTTTCTTGCTATCCAAGTATTGCAAAACCAATCAAAGACATGAACGCCACAGAGGGATTTCAAACACTTCTCATTAATATGTTATCTTTCAAAATCAGAGTTATTTCCCTTGTAATAATAGAATTTTGAAGATAGCATCACCCTGTATCCAATAATATTATCAAATGAGATAGGCTTTTTTTTTTTTTGAGGGGGGAAAAATTAATTAGCAACTCACCTATACCGAATAAATATACATATTTATTTGATTCCAGCCTCTGTATTAGGCCACTCTGCAAGTAAGTCTCAAAGCACTTTAGAAATGTATTCTTTAACAGTTGTTTGCTAGTAATCACACTTAAGAAAGTAAAAATTACTTGGAGATGGAAATGTCTGCCTCCTTTTCCAAAGCAGGCCTTTTCTTCTAGTTTGTGTTGGTACCCATCAATTAGGAAAAAAAATTAAAAAAACCTACTTGAAATGCCATGATCACCTAAAATTTTCTTAGAAGACCATCACTTTGGTTAACAGGGATCAATCCTGCTTTTCAAAATTAAAAAAAAAAAAAATACAAAACAACAAAAAAATACAAAATCCCCCCCCCCATGACAAGTTACTATGCCCACTCAAATGTTGATTTACCAAGAATCATCCATAGTTAAACATCCCTGACCTAAAGACCTTTTATTTCTCTTATGCCCTTTTTCTTCTCAGATTTCATCTTAACTAGTAAGTTCTAAACACCCAGAATTTCTTTGTTTGTCAACTTGAATTTCATATTCTTGATTTTCCTGCTCTGAAGGGCAACTCTCAGACAAACTCAGGGCCAAACTGAACCATCAGCTGAAATGCCAAATAACAGATTGCTTTGCTGCTTGCTGTGGCCTTTTATTTCCTCCCTTTTGATTAGAAATACTTTATTAGGCTAATTAAGTACTTTGAAGCTTGGGTGAAAGTTTTTACAGAAGAGCACCTTTCTGCTAATACTTCAACAAGAGAAAAATATAATGACAGAAAAGAGGAACCAAAATGGGTTTCTATCCTACTTCAGTACATTTAAATTAACAAATTAGCCCTTTAGTGGGTAATCAGGTAAATGGTTGAAACTAAAATAGCAAATACAAGGCCATAGACTAAAGCAACCCTGAGGCTCTGAGAAAGAACTGCAGTATCTCAGCTGCCTACAAATCAGCACAATGCAGAAAGAACTTTCCCTAATGATTTCGTCACTTCAACTGGTTGCTGAATGTAAAGCTGATTCTCCAGGCTTTGGCTTATCTGCTCCACCCAATCTTAAGGCTGAATTACATAGTTGTTGTGGACCAAAGCATTCCTTCCTCGTTAGGTGGACTCCACTGTACTCTTCATCAGATGATGAGTAAGCTAACCAACTTGAGAGAAGCAATTTACACTAAATAAAGTATACACACTTCTAAAGTTCACTTCATTCTGAATTTTTCTTCCCTCTCCTGAGATCTAGTCCAGTAATTTTAAGTGAACAAATCCTTTAAGACAACAATAAAAATATAAAATACTAATCAATCTTTCTGTTGAAATAGGGATAAAGTGTTTGTTATGAAGACAAATTAATTTTCAATCTAATTCATATACCCTAAGCATCGGTTTGAAGAACTATGAGCCTAAAAAAACAAGTTTATAAACATCAGCCTGTGAATAACACTGTGAACCAAGCAAAGCTAATTAATCATTTTATATTCTGTGCAGTAATGAGAATAGAAAGGAGTTCCATCACATACTTTACCAGGTCCTGTGTTACAGAGTCCTCAAGCGTACCCCATTAGATCAAACTTTGGTACTATTTATATTTTAATTCTATTTAAATAGAATTTTAACATGAGTTGGAAAGTGAATGCGTAACCTTTTCTAAGCACATTTGACTGCTGCATGTAGGCACATGTCGTACACCTCCTATTACATGAAGAACAGAAACTCTCCACTCAAAGTTTTTCATAATATTCTGTGGGTTATAAATGCATTTTGACACTTTCCATTTCTGTAATATTTAGCATTCATCTTGGAATATTTATATATGATAAAAAAGTCTAATGTATTTCCTCTTTAGCTCATCTTTTTCCACAGTAACTATATCTCAGCCAAGGTTTGATGAACTAAAGATACTGCTCTTCTTATTAACCACTGTCTTTCCTTAGAAATAATCTCATTATATTTCTGTTTCTTTGTAAGTTAACACCAGTTGACTATAGTCACCTTTAACATGAACAGGATATAGAGGTATACAACACAGAAAACCAGATTACTTCATATTACCGCACAACTACTTAAAAAACGTATTTACATGTCAGCAAAATTACTGTTTTTTCATAAAAAGAGAAAAACTGATCTAGTCTACTGGGAAGACAACCTATGGCTTGTTGGGAACTTCTATATTCTGCATGTTTTACACCTGCTTTTCCTATGCATGGAGAATTTATACTGCTGTATTCTCCCTTCCCCTTGTTTAAATGACTTTGTATCTCACTCTTATAAGAAGTAGCCATTTTTTTCAAAAAGGCTGTTGAAACAAATAAAAGACATTCATCACCTCTTTTCCATTGAAAAAAAAATTGTGCTAATGCTTGAATATTTAAATTTAGTTTTGAAAACTACCACAGCAAGTGATCCTTCATAAATATTTTAAAAAAATTAAAAAATTGGGAGAACTGTCCACTACTGAGGGCAGGTTTTATATTGCTGTGTTGCTATCTGGATCTTAACATCCAAAACTGCACTTGGAGTTGTGCTCTCTGCTCCAGAAGTACCAAACAGCATTACAATGTTTTCCTAAATTTGCTTTTTCGAAGCAATTTGGAAGGCAATTTTGTTATTTGATAAGATGTTCATCACTAAATTCACCTAAACACACATACAGGCACCCCTCTCATACATACATACACACACACACACACATTGATTTTACAAAAGTGTCATTTTCTTTAAGCAAGTAATCACAACACTGAAAATATTCTCCTATGTGTTTGCTGATTATTCTTAAATGATTTGTCACCACTCTGCCACTCAAAGGAGATGGTTATTTCATTCTTCTGAGAAGCTAACTATGTTCAAAATCACCTAGATGAGGATGGTGCTGTGATATAAATTCCAATAGAAAAATGCATCAGCCATCCATATAGCCGTCCATCCTGAGAAACTTCCAGCGACAAATTCTTGCTATTTTCCATTGGTCATGGGGTTCCCATCAATAAATAGAAGGTCAGTGCAACAATGAGGAGCAAGCAGAATGGAGAAGAGAAGGTCTGATAGGCAGCTGATGGCATGAAAATATCTTCATATTTGTAAATACTGACAACACGTTCTGATACAGGTGGTGAGTCTATATCATGACGAGTTATAGAACCTTTAAGAGGTAAGGGCAGAAAGAAATAATGTCAGATGCATTTTTTTCTGTAACTCTACTAAAGATACAGGTAGACAGATAATTTTCAAAACTACAGGAGCATGTAATATTACCCTGTCAGTGAGTAGTACCATTTCCCTGCTTTCTGAAATTAAAATCCTGAATAAAACAAATGAAATGCAAGTAAACAACAAACATCCTTCAAAGGAATTGAGAACTCCTAGTTATGAAGTTCTTCTATATTTAGCTTTGGGAAGGGAGGATAGTAACTTTATAGCTAAGAAAACATGACGCGTTGGACTCTTGCCTTCCTTTTTGTCTGTTTTTAAGCTTTACGCTGTCAGAATTTTAGTTCATTTGGAAAAAAAAAAAAGAAGAAAAAAGGAGGAGTAAGAATAATATAACTGGAAGACGTTTATCAATTTTGGCACATCAGTTCTGTTGGTAACACAGAAATCAACTTACCCTGGATTGCTGGACCCCAAGCAAACAGATAGTACCAACTCAAGTGCAGATCTACGATGGTTTCCTCTCGGGGAACATACACAGGACGCTTGAATCGACATGTTACACGATTGTTTTCAAAAACCCCTTCCTCATCTCTAGCAGGATTTCTCTGGATTTCCTTAGCCCACTGACCGACATTATAGAAGTGCTGTATTCGGACTCTTCCGTTGTCATCATGAACACAAGCCATGACATCATCTCCTCCCTACAAGGTGAAAACAAATTGGAAGACGGAAACCAGAAGTGTCAGAAAGCATTTCCTCATTTATGTGTATAATTTTAATTATTCAAAACTAATCAAGGCCTAGGACTCTCCTTTCTTCTTCCCAAATTATGTATACACAAATATTTGCTTCCCTAACCAGGTGTCTTGAGTCCAATTGAAAAGCACATAAATAGATAGTAATATTTACTTACCCTTACTATCTCTTTTGGATCTTTCTAAGAGTTATTTTACCTTACATATAAAATTTGTAAGCCATGATATCACCCTGACATCACATAATTAATTGATCCGTGGAAGGATGTTTTCTTTGGTTATTTGTGAAGTTCTGAGATCCTGCTTCATAAAAACTGGCAGTCTTGAATCCCTCCTGTGCACAAAATCCACTGCATCAAATCACAGGTAGGAAACCAATATGATTTAGTAGGATAGAGGAGATGAATCTACTAATTATGGGAAAATAATACCATAAATTAGAGTAAGTCTTTTCTAATCTCTTCTCACTTTCACTTAAGGGAACATCACTTCTCATATCTCTTTTATCTCTTAAAAGAAAATTAAAAATGTTCAGCATGTAATAACAGAATACAGTATACTGTAAGATATAATAAAAAAGTAATCAATATGTTCTTCTTCACTTAGCTTAAACAGCCACCAAAGTTGGTTCTTCTCAAGCGAAAGAACCAACAGACAGAAGGAAGTCGTGAGACAATTATTTGTAGAGGTTATCTGTAGACGTACTAAAGCAGTTGCTAGAACAGCTACTCAAGGTCACTGACAAAGTGGTAGAGCACTGTATCACTCAGGGATGAGCATTAACTTCAGGAGTGCTATCTCACAGAATCCTTAGCATCAAGAACACTTGGTCAAGCTGGATGAGTGGCATTTTACTCAACACCACTGTCACAGCTATCAGTGCCATACTAAATACAGGCCCTACTCCTCCCCTACTCATCTTTATGAGATGCCATACTGATGATAGACTTGGCGCTTGCTAGTGTGATCATCCCTCAGCTCTTTGTTATAGGGGAGGGAGAGAAAAAGAGTGCATTTCAGTACTCTGGGAATATTGCTATGTGCATTTGTAAAAGATGTGCCAAAAGTGAAGGGAAAAAGTGGACAACTATGTAAAACACATGCTTGAACATTTTCTGCACCTTGGTGCTGCTGCAGGCAACCTTTTCAGCCTCTGTCTTGAGACTATCATTGCTTTCCATAACTTATTTTCCAAGTTTAATTGTCATACATCTGAGCAAAAATTCCTCATTCTTAAGTACAAAGAAGAAAAATAAACCTGTTTTCACACAGAAGAAAAAAACTAAAAAGGAAAGAAAAAAGCCCTCTGAATCTCAGTTAACAGAATGACATTACAGAATCCTTCTAAGGCACAAAAGCCTGCAAGTGGAAAAGCATAACGTTATTTGAGACAAAGAAATAGGTCACAGGACTTTAAAAAAATCTATTGAGGACACAAAATAGGTTTTTTTTTCCCTAAACTTCTGTAGCTATCCAGGCCACACCATTTAGATTAGGGCCTCCAAAGCACAGCCCATTTCTCACAGCAAAGCTGTTTTGACTCAGAGCCATTTTACCATCAAAGCCTGGAAGTTATGAAAAAGGATGAAATCAGCAGGGGAACAAGAGAGAAAGAGAGATGCTAGCTGGTTTAGTCCAGCTGACTGACGGGCATTAGATGATGTACACAGCAAATCTGGAAGCAAAAACTTCTAATATTTAGTTAATTGTTCTTACCAGAAGCTTCTTGATGTGCCTGGGACAAAAGGTAACACATGTTTTCCAAGTGTCTGATGATATGACAGCAGTGGGACCCTGGGATCTACTACAGGTACATCACAGTTACCAACTAGTAACACAATCTCTGATAGCTTAGGAACAAATACTTAAAAGTGCTGAGCTGTTTCTGAAACCCTGTTGAGTGCTTGCATTGCCATCCATCTAAATTCTTCCCAAAATTTGGCTGTAAAACTCTTCTTTACAACACCAAAACCACAAGCTATTTCTTGTGATGTGAACTGTTCCTTATGATATAAAAAGCTTCTAATTTCATCGTGTTTATTTACAGCATCATGTTAAAACGTATAAAGTAATGAGTGAGAAGCTCCTGCCCTCACACTTTCTTTGTATTTTTCATTTTGAGTCTGATAAAAATACTGTTAAGTCAGTGCAAGTCTTCCCATTAATTTTTGTGGGTCCTAGCCCAGGACATCTAAATCCTGTATTTTTTCAGACTACCATTTTCAACATTACAAGAAAAAGTCCTTTCCTTTAACTTGTGGTTTAGGATCTGGCCTCAGTATTGTTCTATATACCCAGGAGTGATTCTGTACATGAACACCTGCATTATGAACTGCATTTTAATCCTAAACACTTTACCAAGGATCATAGACAAAACACCTTTGCATAAGTTGCCCATTGCATAGGTTTTTAAAGTTCACACAGTACATGCTTCTGTTTTGCTCACTGAAACTCAACAAAAAGTGAAGCTTTTGAATGAAAAAGTAAGTACAGGAATAAGCATAAAAGCAAACTCAAAAAAATCCAGAAGAAAGAATAAATTTTAACAAGATTGTTTTCTAGAGTATATATGTTTAAATTAGCAGGAGTCATCTTGTCACATATTTTTAGCTTCCCTGAAACAACACATAGGTATGAAAGAAACAAAAAATATTTCTGAAGTTAAACAGTGAAAGATATATTTACATTGCTGAAAGTCAGCTGATTTACAGAAGAATAAAATTATTTGTTATTTAGTTTATGATGTGTCTTTTGTCAAAGTTACACTGCCATAAAGCACAGCAGGACATTTCCATGTGAATTGGCTTACCCCTGAGGGCTTTTCTAACAAAAAGACAAAAAGCTAATAACATTCAGCCATTCAGAGCTGAACTGAAATACTGTTGTAGTTCTCAGAAAAGAAGGGAAAGGAGATGTTAAGAAAGATGAAGCAGTTTTCTGTGAGGCAGTAGGCCTGGCTTATGCTCCTGAGGGGCTACTGAATGGTGCTTTGTTTTCAGCAAGTCAGTTTTTCCTTTTATGCTCTGTTTCTGACTGATGAAATATATAAATATAATATAAACCATGTAAAAGTGTGCATGTTGTCAACATGAAGAACTGCACATGTCTTACCATCTTCTTGTCTGAGGAAAATCCCACTGCCACCCAGCCATCAGTATCGGCACTCAACTCAAATTCCACGTCAGCTCCTATTCTACGGTAACTTAGAAAGTAGTCACAAGTCTCCGCATTACATCCAGGTTTACCATACCTAAATGGAATTGAAAATACAAGTAATTTTTCCTTGAAATTTGCTGCCATGGAACTTAATTAAATTTCTGCAAAAAAACTCAAAAGAACGCATTCTTGTATAATGGCGGTAAAACATACTATATATACTGCTATACATAGGGTACCATTAATTAAGAGTTTCAATTATTGCTCTTTTAGTATAAGAATGTATAGTATTTAAACAGTATGGCAAACAGTTACACACGGTATTACTCTGTTGACCTTACTTGCTCAGGTTTTGTAAGTGCTTCATGAAAATATGAATTGTGAAAGAACTGTAGGTCCACAACTAAGACATATATTCTAGTGTCCTCAAATAATATAGTTACTACTAAAAGGTATGTTCTTAAAATAATAAACATTTATTTAAATGACTATGAAACACTTACCAAAGTCTCCAATATCATCAGTCAGCATTTTTAAAAATAAAGTTATCTGCACTCTTATCTCAGACTGACCTGAAGCATCCCTTGGTTTTTCCACAGTCATCCACTCTGATTTTTGCAAAGGGATCCACAGGAGGAGCAGTAGGGAAAGGGTAACCTGTATAATCAGAATAAATCATTACTAAATAAAATATGAGGAATAAAAAGCAGTAATACTAAAGAGAAATTTTGCAATAGCGTTTACTTTGCTGATAACTGTGCTGTTCAGACAAGGGACTGCTTTGTCACATACACAATCCATTGTTCAGATAGTCCTGGATCCAGGTACCAAAGCAACACAAGTAACTGAAAACAAAACTTTGCCTGCATTCATTAAGGCGAGAGAAGAATGCCAAAGGCTAAAAGTTAGTGTAAGGCAGCAGGACCATGGACAAGGTGCAATCAACTAACAGTTCAGGATCTCCGCTCAGCTATCTCTTTGTCACCTCAGGAAATCCGTTAGGGAACTAAATTTGACTCCTTACAAATGACAGCATGAGGTTTAAATGGAGGCAGGGCACCAGACGCAGAGCTGTAGGAATGGATACCTTATAATAAGGAAAGCACCTTATAATACATCCTCCACTAAGAAGTAAAATAAAACACACATTGCAGAAAAAAGCAAGAGAGTATCAAGACAGGAATTGCCTGCAGTTATAGCCTGCAATCACTTGTGAAGGCAGACCCAAAAGAGCTGGACAATGAGAGTTATGATTCCAAGCAATACCCTGTCTGCTGCAAGATAATACACCAAAGAGGAAGTGAGAACATTTGTGAACAGACCTATTTTGTCTTTGCTTGTAGACGCTGATGTCTGTTGTATAAGCACAGGTATTTTTATTAGGATGTTCTTTTACTTAGCCAGCTGAAAAATGAAGTGCTAACTGTGAAACTAGAAAGTCCTCTGAAAGCACTTCATTGAATAGGAAAAGTGCTTCATTGAGTAGGGAAGGAACACTGCAGTTAGTTACAGCATCAGTACACAAACGTTTGACCTACACAACTTTGGGTGTTCAGGAGCCCTGATTCGCTTCCTCAGATTTCTGACAAGGCTAATGGAGAAAGTGTGCTGTAAGCTGCAAATCACAGCTCCTTTAACTGTCTCAGGGGCCTGGGTAAATTACCCAGCATAAATGCATTAAGTTTGCAGAATTTCACGGCAGCCTGTAGCAGAGCATCGCTGACACACAGGTCACGGGACATGCAATTTTCTCACTCCTTCATTATTTTTCAAGTCCGTTAAACAAACGGGTTTCAATGCATCCTAGCCACAAAACTGGGAGTTTTAACACTCCACCATCTGTAAATTCAAAAAGACACCCCGGAAACCGCGACCACCACGCTGCTTTTGCTTGACACTTTAGGGCATCACACAAGTCGAAGCCCACCACAAGCCCCGGGATTCCTCTTCACGCTACCAGCGCGCAAAGCTTCGCACGACGGAAAAGCGAGACACCGCCGGCCGGCCCCGCTCTGCGGGAAGGGGACGGAGCCCGGCCCCGTCCGGGGGGATGCCCGGGCCCGGGGGTGCCGCTGCGGGGAGCGAGGCGCCGGCCCTGCGGAGAGCGCGGACGGTCCGGTGGGACACCCAGGGCTGCCCCCGGCCCCGGCCGCAGCCGGCAGCGCCGGCTGGAGGCCGCCCGGGCGGCGGAAGATGGCGGCGGGCGCTGGCCTTCGTGCTGAACAACGCCGCCGCTGCCCGCCCGCCCGCCCGCCCGCCGCCGGCCGGCGCGGTGCTCCCTCCTGCCGCGGCCGCGCTGCCCTTCGGCCTGCCGCGCCCGCCCGGCCCCGCCGCCCGCCCCCGGCCGCCGCCGCACCTCCTCGGAGGTAGCGCAGGTCGTGGAACCCGCTGGCGAAGGTGCCGTACGAGGTCGTCGGTGCCGCGCCGCGTCCTCGCCGTGCTCCCCGCCGCCCGCCTCCCCGCCGCCCGCCGCCCTCCTCGGCCGGGCTGGCGTAGGAGCCAGCCAGGAGCAGCAGCAGCAGCAGCAGCCGCCGCCGAGCGCCGCGGCTCCGCTCCGCCATGGCGGCGGCGGCGGCGGGGCGGGAGGCGGCGGCGCCCGAGCGCGGCTCCGCGGGGGAGCGGGGGCGGCCGCCGGGGGGATCCAGCCCCGGGGACGGGCGGTGCCGGAGGGAGCGCGGGGGTGGGCGAAGAGGGACGGTGTGGGAGGAAGAGGTGCCGGGGCGCCGTATGAGCGGGAATGCGCGTGGGAGCGGCGTGCGCGGGAGCGGGATGCGCCGGGAGCGGGATGCGCCGGGAGCGGGATGCGGCGGGAGCGGGACGCGCGGGCGGTCACAGGCACAGCCCTGGCAACACCGAGCCCTCCCGCAGGGATCGCCGCCGAAGGGCTAGGCGGTGGCCTTCCGTGGACCACCAGGTTCCCGCACCCCAAAGCCCGCCCCACCCGGCAGAGACCCCGGCGCGGGGACACCTCCTGCCACCGCCCAGGCACAGCACTCGGGGGCAGCACCAAACCATCCCCGGCCGCCCCCGTGGCCTCGATTCGCCAAAGCCTCCCAGCATGTGCTTCAAGAGGACGTGATAAATCCTGCTCAGTAATTGCCGGGCAAACTTCCCTGGTTTATTTGTTTTTGTGTTGTGGTTTGTTTGGGTTTTTATTATTATTATTATTTTTAATGACTTCTGAGATGGGACTGGAGGCACAGCACGACTTAACATTCATTTCAGGTAAAACCACATGGTAGTGAGCGCTCACTGTCTGATTGTGTGTTCTTGCTTTGTATTTTATGCAATGTAACTGCAGCAGTATGAATATGCTTCAGACCTGTCAGGACTGAAGGAAAGCCCAGGCTGTGCCCCCAGAGTTGGCCTGGGCTCTTGTATCTCATGCTGGACTTACAGCTAGGTATTAAAGATACAACTGCATTCTCACTGTGCCGTGGTGTCTATGGGTTGATGAAGGAACCATGACCTTTCGTACCTCATGTTTGCCAAAGTGGTTTTTTTTCTTGGATTTGGATTGCTGTCTTCTGGTTACAACTATAATTTCATTTTTATATTGTTTTTCATGGTTACACTTCCTCCTATGACAGTCCAGAATAAAATTCAGCAAAACATCAGGGAGGAGGGAGGGAAAAAGATAAAGACATAGAAGTTGGTAATATTCTGAAAATTAAAGTAACCCCTAATTTAAATGTTTTCTTTTTTACTATTGATAACCATACAGAGTTACTTTTTGATGCGGCACTGAGACTGCCCAAGACCTAAGCTGCATTGGGGATAAGTCCATTCTCTTGAGTTGAGCAGGTGATTGTCATACCAGAGTGCGCTCAGCTCTGTTGAGTGGATGATGTTAATTCACATATCCATGGTTTAGTCTGGTGGAGTAGCATGTTATCTCTCACTGCAGATAGAGGAACAGCTATACAGAGGTAAAAAATTAATTGCAAAACAAATTCCAATTGCATGCAAGTTCAACATGTTCCATAGTAGCATCTGGAAAAAGCTATGGAAGAGCAACAGCAAACTCAAGTGCAAAATAGCGAGTCCCTTCTTCCTACCTCACTGAGCTTGGCAAACTTTAGCAGGCCAGTGGAAAACAAGCAAACAAATGGCAATAGACAAAAACCCTTATAAATCAGGCTAACAGGAGAATAAGGCTGCAGCTTATTCTTTCTGGGAATAATCAACTCTGATGAAGGCCCCCTGTCTCCTTTTTGAAATAGCTCGCTGAGGGTTGTGATGCCTATGAAGAAACATTTGCTCAGCGAGGGAGCAGCTGTCAGCTGCATGCTGATTTTTCCTCCCTGGCAACAGGCTTTAGCACACTGCGATATGGGCAATGCTTCACAGTTACTGTAAACACTTAGGATATTTCTCATGTATTGTTTATGCCTACATGACATCTATTGTTTTAAATCTGACAGCTGAGATAACTGTCTGCGATTACAGTGAAGCTGCACTGATTTTCTAATGTGAAGATACGGCTAAGAGACTGACTATATTGCATGTGCCTTCCTCCTTGTAAATCCTTAAAAATTAAAACTAAAATACTCCAGCATTTTTGCCCCTTAGTAGAACCTCTTGTGTTTGCCTGAAGGTTCTCCCTATCACAAGAAAGGGTTGCTCATGGAAAGCAATGTCACATTGAGACAGGTGGAGCTCTAATGAGTACCTTCAGTTTTCAGCAGACAGAAAGGTCTGCACTGCAACTAACAGCACTGCCAGCAGTTCTGCAGGGAAGATCCTTATCTGATCAAATAATTGAGGCTGCCATCAAAGGAGGCATTAGCAGAAGGAGTCCAAACTGCAATTGCACATTCAGCCTTAACCCTGAAACGCCTAAACTTTCTGAATGCCGTATTTCTCAGCTTGCACGTGCTGGTAATACCTTTCTTATATGGGACATACACAAGCCATATGTGAACCACACGTAGAAGGCATTGCCAGCCTCTGACAGCAGAAGACCTCTTGCTTTTGGTGAATTAGAGATGTGGGCATTTCCACCACTTCTTGTGCCCATCGCCTCCTGCCTCAGGGGAATCCAGCAGTCAGATTCCTTGCGTGGTTAATTTCTCTAAAGCTTGGGTGATTCTCTGGTTCTAGCACTCAGTCTATCAGTGCCTTGCCAGGACTAGAGACCAGGATTATCCCCAGACATCCCTTGAGGCCCACCCTGCCTTCTTTCTTGGCTTTGTTTGGTCACTCAAAGTACACCTTTATCCTGGAGGCTCATGGCTTTTAGGGCTTTTGGAATAGAAATTAAAGCTTCAGGAATAAGTCATAGTTTATAAAACAGACATTCAGAAAAAAAATGTTGTCTCAGAGTCTCTGCATTATTCAGGAGTGGCTAGGGGGGAAGAGGCTAAAAACCTATTAGTCATATAAGACCATGGCCTGACTAATGAAGAGAGAAGTGGGGAAAGGCCAGTGATGCTGTCAGACCATTAGGCTGATAAGATATCCTTTGTGCCCACTTTTCCTTTGGGATCACCCATGTCAAACAAGTTCCTCTCTCCACTGCTTGGGCAGTGAGGTTGGATCTTGCATTTTCCAGGTCCTTTCTGGTTCTGTGCATGATCTAGCAGGTTTTGTCCATTCGATCATTCTCGACTTCCTTACTCAACTATTCATAAGTTATTAGTGTTGTCAGACCACCCCAAAAAGATGAAGTTAGTTAAGTTTATACTGCCCTGCCTCTTCCCAGCTACATCCTCAATATATCCATGCCTCAAGAACAATATGTTAAAGTTTAGTGCTGCTGGTTATTTTCATCAAATCAACATGTACTGAAAAATCAGTATGTATCTACCAGTGGTACTGACTGAGAAAGCAATTCACAAGACAGCAGTTTTCTTATTGCAGTAACCTTAATCAGAATTTGTAATTTAATGCAGTTTTCTCAAACCCATAATAAAATCTTGTTCAATAAGGTTAATGTAGCTACCAGTGATTTATGTTGGGCTTTCCTTTATTAAACAACAATAAATTGAGAAATTGAGAAATAACACTGATTTCATTAGTAGTCATTTATGCTGTGCTCTAGTTATCAACTTGTAACTCTTCAGAAACGTGCTTGCTGTGTTAGTTACTTAAAATAAGACATGGGAGAAAATATGCTAGGAATTTCTTGAAAGCAGACTTTTTTCGCAATATACAAAACAGATTGATGAAGGTAGAAGTGTCAAATGCCAATATATGAAGTATATCTCCTATGAGAAAAGTAAGAACTAAGCGATCACCTTAGAAAAACCAAAGCACTGTGGAGGAAAAAGACATGTGTAATTTCTGGAAGCTGCTCACCAAAGAGATGAGTGAGCTTTTTGGAGGCATGGTATTGCTTCAGGTCTTCTGGAGAAAGGCAAAAAAATATAAACTCTAAATATGCTATCATCCAAATACAAACTGCATTAGATCATTAGATTATCTTTTGCTAAGCACAGGTAATTTTTTCTTTTTCTGCTGCCACTGAGTTATGTAGCTGGTCTTGCTCCAAGAATGCCTTTGCAGCCAGTACTGCTCACAACAGCAGTCTTTCTATAAAATTAATCTAATGCAGGAAAAAAGCAATGCCTCCAAGTTTTTTTCCACAAGCATAACATATACCAATCTAAAGACCAAGTCCAGCAGTTTTGGACACTAAATCAGCATCAGTTTTGCTTCAGTAAGCACTGTAGACCCTTCCCAAAGTATATTAAAACTGTGCAGGTTGTTTGTTTGTTTGTTTGGGGGGTTTGTGTGTGTGTTCATTTACATCAGGTAGTTCATGTCTTTTCTCCCAAGATTGCATTTTTTTACGTGCCTGGTATACCTGCCTTTGATACCCCAGTGTGAATGCAGTTATGGGAGGTCTATCTACCCTGAAAGCCAGATCTACCAGATGGTGGCACAATGTGCACCAGGTGGTTTTGGAGCAAAATGCTTCACATTTTTTAAAAAGTCCTCATTACAAAGAAGTTATTTATAGTGTTATTCTCACAAGGAGCCAAAACAGAGCAGCCTTTTATTAGAACTTGCAGTAAAGGGCATTACATTGAGGCCTCCCTGTGCATAAATACCATTTACTTACTGTGCAAAAATTGGCCTGGAGAGCAGAAAAATTTAGCTTGTATTAGCAAAGAGCTCATTTAGGTAGGAATGTTTTAAAGAGTTTAAGCTGCATGGGCAGAATTCAATTAATTCCACGTGAGACAATGTAATTTCATCCTAATTAGTTAAGAACCCAGAAATGGGGGGGGGAAAGAGGCAAAACCCTGTTCCTTTATGAAACTTCATCTGGAGAGTTATGATGAAAGTTCTGTGAGTTTGCCTGTTGGAAAACAACCGGCTAAAACAATCTTTCTCCAGTCCAAACTCAAGACATCTCTGCATCTGAATAATAATAATGCCCTTATCTTCTAGGTGAATGTGAGTGAGAAAAAGCAGCAGAGAAGCTCCTTCTGCCTCAATCCTCTTCAGGGAAGGTACTTTCTATGTATCCTAACCAAGGCATCTTCTGCCAGGGGATCTGAGGAATGTAGGCCTTGGCCCTTCCTGGATAAAAGCTACAGGAGGGGATGCTTTGCTTCAAACATCCCAGGGAAAAACTCCCGTATTAGGGGAGTTTTCTCTTTCTCTCGAGGACGTTGGAGCCCAGGTGAAGGGTAGACCTCAGACCTCAGGATCCACGAACACGCTCCAAATCTGGCTTTGGGCTGGAGCACCCTGAACACCCACAGTCAGACCAGGCTGCTCCTCGTGCTGCTGGCCCCCTGCCCAAATACACCCAGCACCGTGCCCAGTAATTTTTGAGCTTGGAATGCAGGACAGGTGTCCTCTCTCATCCACAAATGCAATAAAGTGTTGCTTACAGCAATAAGCGCAGCTTTGGGGTGTTTTGAGGAAGGGGGAAAGAGGGGTTGGGGCGAGAGAAAAAAAAATCGAGGAAGCAGAGGTGAGTGTCCCCAGGAGACAGCCCGTTCCCAGCCTATGCTGGGTAGGGTGCAGCCAGACCGGCCACCTGCCCTCTCTGCCAGGGCATCTCCCCCGGAGCCGGGCTCCCCCCGAGCTCCACCCGCGGGGCGGCTCCGCCGGCGGCTCCCGGGAACACCGGGATTGCCATGGCAGCCGACCGCCGCCGAGGGGCACCAAGGCACCGAAAGACGGCGTGGTCCTCCAAAAACATTCGCCCACCCAGGCAGCAGGACGTGAAAGGGGGCTTTTCCCTCTCTGCCAGCAGGAGGGAGGGAGTCGAGGGGATGCTGCCCAGGGAGCCCTGGGGAGCCCAGAGCCCTAAAGAGGAACCCTTAGAGCCAGCCTGTGGAGCTTGAGGCAGCCGGGCTCATCCTGGCGCATCCCTGCCTGTTACCGTCCCTGGATGCATGCAAACTGATCTGTGAGAACCACCAGAGGAATGGACTGAGCAGGGCGCACATGCAAATGACTGGAAATCTTGTGGGACTGCAAGATTCAGACTGCGCTGTACTTAAGCAGTAGTGAGGTAAAGGCTTCTGGGGCGGCAGAGTTACATAGCTCGGAAGGAAAATTCCAGCCCAAATTCCAGCTTTTGTCTCAAGCTTCCCTCTTTGCATGTCATTATCTACAGACGCGTCCATATTCATTACCTGCGCTCACTTGGACGGCAAAGCCAGTCTGGTGCACAAGTGGCTTCGCTGAGTTTAAAATAATCAGTTCTTTTTTTCATATTAAAACAAGGGAGACTCAGTTAAACCGAAGGCTTTGGGTACCAAAGAGGCACACTAAGGGAGATGAGTTAAGCCTCTCAAAAACCTCACTGCAGGCTTTGTTAACATCCACGAGGTGCATGGAAGTCTTTGAACCTCGGATGCAAGGATAAATCAAGCATAAAACAAGTTACTCTGGTATAGAAAATATCCCATACATCTGCTAGTGGTATATTGTTTTGGAATGCTTGTAAACTAAGTTAAAAAGAGAGACATTTTTAAGGTTTTAATTTATGTAAGTTGCTACTAATATTGAAATTAACAAAGTCAGGTTTACTCCTCACAAAGCCAATGAAGTCTGAGTTCAGCGTGGTTTGTTCATCCAAAGATTCTAGAATACAGGCATCTTCAACGAAACACAGTGTTATTGAACAGAACAAAACATTGTGTGACAAACTAGATGTGGGAACTTTTATACCAGTTAATATGGGGATAAAACCATCATATTTCAGGGTTATTTGAGAAGAATCAGGGGATCTCTAACCACAGTTACATCTCTCTTTCTCTTTTTTTTTTTTTTTTTTACTAACCAAAAAGACTGTAGCATTGATAAATGGCTGGGATTTTCTTGTTAAAATCTTCATGTGATCCCAGCCACAAATAATACTGAACTTGGTTTCTTGTTTCTGTTGTGCAGGTATGTAGTACATTCTAAGGTTTCTTCAATGTTTTTCAAAAAGATGTTTACAATTATAAACCTAATATAAAAATAAGCATTTAGCTGGCTTCTCTTCATTTAGCAGTCAATATGTGCATGGAGGAAAGGTTTCCAACAGCCCAAGGTGTATGCTGTGCAATTACCCCTTCCCTTACACTTAAAAAAAAATGAGACCGTATTAGATATTCTGAAGCCATTTCAGTATGTCATTAAGCTGATGCCTTTGAGTTTTGTTCTGATGGTGTTGCTATGCCAATTTGAGACACAAAAACAGTCTCTAAGCATTTACTGAAAACACTGCTCATCAACTGGGGAAGAAGAAAACGGGGGGGAAAAAACAGACATCAATCTGGTAATTGGAGAGAAACACAAGCTCCCCTGTTCGGGCAGCCAGTTTCCCCACATGTACTCTCCCTGCCATTGTAAAATATTCACATATGTCAACTACCCTAAAATGTAGTAGTGGAGCGCAAAAGAACACTAAACTGAGGCTTTTTTACCACTCCACAGGCAGTCACAGTATTGCTGTGCCGGCAGCCAACAACTTTACCAAGCTCAGGCCACGCTGGGGCAATGACCTTTTTCTCCATATCAGTATATGATCACAAGCCATGAACCCAGATATAGAAAGAGCAGTTGAACAGTTCTTTACAGCATTATGTGGACACTTTAAATCTGCCCTCTGAGTTTTCTTCTGGACATACCCATGAGAAATTAGCTTGCCCACTCCCTTAGGCCTTTTGTGCCCTGGCCACATACTGAAGGGGAACATTGCAGGTGGGTAGTGTGTGGGACTCACTGAGGAGGTGATGTGATTTAATTGTGGAGGCTCCAGGCAAAATGGTAACTGTCAGGCAGAGACGGGATGCTGCTATAGTCCCAGCTCCAGGTCGGCCCCTCAAGGATAGAGTTAATGATGTGTGGCACTAGTGGTTGCAAAACAGCACAGCTTTTTCCATCCATAGGAAACAATGCTTCTTCTCATGAAATGCCTCAGCATTTAGTTGGATTATTTTTAGAAGCATTCGCATTTGATAAAACAACACAGAGAAAAAGACCCTCAAACTCATCAGGATTCTCATTTGTAGCGAAGTATTAATACTGAGAGTACTTCCAAAGTGAAAGTCCAGAACAAGATTTTGGTTTTCTGATTTTCTTTAAGGAATCAGAGTTCTTCTTTCATTCTGCCATTTTGCTCAAACTCATGACATCATACTGTTCTTATTGTATTCATATCATTATCCAAAGAGTTTAACAGCATTCTCTTATCCCAGAAAACAGAGTTTGAATACTTTGCTTAGTTTTTATCTGTGGGAAATTTATACTTTTCATTCTCAGTTTGAAGAAAGTTCTCAAAACACAAGAAACTTCTGCCTCTGACCAGCTCTTCTCTAAAGATCAGTCCATGCTAGAGTTAAGGTTGCCACAGTCACCCCAGCCCCTCCACCCGTTTTCCTGCCCTCGCATGATGACTCAACTTCTAATGACAGAGTCACACATGAGTTTTTCCATAGCACCTGTCCCATCTGACAGCCTGTAATGAATGAAAGGGTTGAGCAATGTTTATTTTTATCTTCTCTTTTCTATTTGAGCTCTGCTTTGGGGACAACTGTTGAAAGCATATATAACCACTTACTTTTAAAAACTTGCATGCATCCTTCCACTTGCATCCCCATGCTTATGAAATTGACCTTCAGAACTACAACTAAGCAAAGTCGCAATTTCTTAAGAGAAGACGATTTTGCTTTTCTCGTAAGGGAACTTTTTTCAGCTTCAGGGAGAGAGTGGAGCTATTGCAGCTCTTCCACAGCACTATAGTTTTAATAAAGAGAGTCATTCTGCCCCATTCCACAAAGGAATGTTTTTACAGGTATTGCATGTAAAACATTTAGCAGGACAGCTGGCCATGGACCTGAGGGATGCTCACTTGGACAGTGCAGGCTGTGTTGACAAGCACTAGCTTAATAAGCATGTAGGCAGAACTGAAAAAGTAAACATTTCCTTGATCCCTGTTTGATCAGTTGATTCTCACGTCATTTCCCCTTTTCTTCAGCACTTGTCCTCTGTCAGCAGAAGTCGTATCTCCTTATGTTGCTTTCCTTCTATCTAGGCAGGGTTTGACAGGCAGCTGACCCAAGAGGGGCTGGCAGAGGGCCTGAACAGATGCTGGATGCTCTCTCTAAACCCTGGCACTTTCTTGTACCCTGAAATGTCTTCTTCAGTCCTGACTGCTCTTGTCCTGGAAGTCCACCCTCCTTTTCCCACTTCTAGACATCTGCAGGCAGGAAAACTGTCTGTGCACTCTGACCATGAGAGGCAGCAGCACACCCAGCTGCTGCTGTGGCTCATTGGCTGCACTGCTTGGTCAACAGAAATAGCAGAAGTGAATACCCTTCTAGTATAAGAAATGTACAGTGAAACCTTTGCTAAGGAACGCTTGCACAGATGAGAGCACAAGTATTTTGATCCATTTATCAAGCGCTTTCACTTCTCCACTTATCAGGAGGAGCAAATAGGATAATTATTCAGGGGCTGTGCAGGGGACCAAACCTTTGGCTTTGCTTTCTCTGGAATAATGACTTCCATTTGCTTACATCAGTCTCTGTTTACAGATTAGTTCCTCAAACCTCCATGGCTGGGCAGCAGAGGAGCAGTTAGTCACAGAGGGCTGTGTCATTCATTATCCGTGACCAGGTTCATTGCTTTCACTGGCGTAATGGCTGAGCAGACTGGATAGTTTCCCAACACACACAAGGCAAGCACCTGCCATCCCATCCATATTTGTACAGTTGTGTATCCTTCAGGTAAGCTGCTCATCTACTCTGACATTGTCAGATGCCTAAAGTGTATTGCAGGTGAATAAAAAGGAAAGTGTTTCTGGATGCAGCTGAAAAAAATGTGAGGCTCTATAAAAAAACAACCACCTTTTCAGCTATTATTTGCATTCACATCTAACAGCAGTTTTTCAGGGACCTGCCCATCTTGCCTCCCTTTCCCCTCCCACGGATTTCTGCGCAGTAGGTACCACAGGGGTAAAGCGGTCTTCAGCTGAGATCACTCTTCATTAGCTATCAATGGCTATTGTCAGAGGAGGCCCACAGGTGAGATCAAGGCTTCATTGTTCCAGGTGATGGATCCACATAGATACTGCAGATCCCTTCTATAGGGCTGGCAGTGAAATGAGGCAGCAGGTCACAGTGAGCTTTTAAATATCACTCCCTGAGCTGGTAGCTCAAGGTTCAAATGAGCCAGCGGAGTTCCCCAGAGAGTGACATTACCAAAATCTCTTGGTGAGCTGACTCCACAGGCTGAAAGAGAAGAATAATATTTCAAATAAGTGGCCTGGCAGAGTTCAAAGGGATAATAAGCATTTAAATTCAACATGAAAGACATCTTCCTCTGCAGAGCTTTAGGATGGAATGTAGCCAGGCAGATAAGCTATTTAAAAGCCCCTGTAATCAAGATTATTAACATGGAGATTTTTGTCATAATTAAAAAAATCCCCCTTTTCAATCACATTAAAGAGAAAGTGATATAAAATGTAATTTATTTTTCTATTTGAATCACTTTTTAAAGAACAGTAAAAACACTTTTCCTTGCAGAGAATCACACCATCATTAAAAGTTATCTTTGAGAGAAGATTCATTTAATCTATTGCATTGCTCATATTTTAACTTGGAGTGAAGTGTTGCACTTTTATTTCAACAAAAAAGGTAAAAAACCTACGTTTTGACTTCCCAAGTATTTAATTTTCTGACCATAAGCAATAGTGAGACAACTTAAAAGAAAAAGTTTTATTCTCACATATTTCCTGGTATCTCAAAAGATGCTGTAGAAAACAATGCCAGCTCACATAGGAAGCATGCTTTCTTTTCTTTTTTTTTTTTTTTTTGGTGCATTTGGAAGTAAACCACATTAAAAGGAGCCTACCCACTTTGCAGAAAGAAAAGCACACAGAATATTACTGTGCACTTGTATTCAGTAAAATCTGTGAGCAGCAGAAAGACTACAGGAGCCAGAGAGTGCTACCAGTGCACCTCCCTCCTTTCATCATTTTTGAGTTCAAAGTCCTACCTGCCCCGGGGCTACCCTCTTGCCTTCAAAATAGCTGCTGTATATTTAGGTCACAATGATGAACAGAAGAAAAATTATAAGACCAGAGACACAAAGCAGCTGCAGCAGGGATGCTTCACACAGAAACATGGCATCTGAATGGAAATAGACGTCCTTAGCAGGACAAGGGTTGCTGTTCACTTTGTTTTCAGGCAGATTTGCAGACCTATGTGGTTACAGAGGAAGAGCAGCATATGCGACATGCGTGAAGCCTCGCTAAACCTCCCACGCAGTGCTAAGCCAGCCAGCTAAGAAACTTAATCCCATGCAGGGAAAATACCTCCATCTGACAGAGCTTTGCCAGTGTGAAACAGCATTTCTCACAAACTGAGAAGTGGTTCAGTGGGACAGCTGTGGTGAAGCTCAGGAGGTATCCTGTTGGTCTTACTAGACTTGAAGATGTTGCAGGGTCATTTGCTTGTCAAGTTCTTAATGCTCTGCACTCCTCAGACTTTTAGATAATGCCTTTGCTGTGAATCCTTCTTCCTTTCAAGCTGATACTGACTAAACTGGCAGGTCCAGAAGGAGCATATATGACAATATATCAGACACATCAGTGCAATGCTACATCTGTTTTATAGCACAGCCGTGTGCTAACTCAGCTCTATTGCTTTTCCCCTGGAACTTGGTTGTTCAGCTTCTGCAAAAAGAAGCAGAAGAAAGACTGAAGAAACCCTAAAAATACCTTTGAAAATCCCCATGTTCTAAATGATGGCTTGAGCTGTGCAGTTTCAAGGTGTCCAAAGTGATCAAACATCTCCTTATCTGAACTGAGAAGTGCTGAAGCAGCTGCATGGCCAAGCATCTGCTTGATGAGGTGGATCACCCCCATGCAAGCGCACCCATCTGTACAGTCTGGTTTTTCCTCCCCCTCCTCAGCCCTGGTGTAGCTTCCCTGTATGGGCAGAAGAACGTATGTTGGACTCCAACTAGATTTTGAGGTTGCTGCCTGACAGGGCTCTTCAAAGAGCAAGATTATTCCCTGGAGTTCACTGAAAATATTATATGTGTATATCTTGTCCTACAGATCTGTATGGGTACAGAGCAGCACCTACCTTTTTATAACTAAGGAACGTCTGCATCACCATAGCTATTTATAAACTTATTATCAGCTTTTCCAAGCAGGTCTAAATCACAGACATTCTCTTCCTTTCCTTGATATCTTAGTCCTCTACCTTAGCCCTTCAGAAATTTGATTAAAAATACACTAATTTCCACCAGGCTTTATTTGTTCCTGTTTCTTCTGTAGAAGGTATCTGCAGACTGCGAGCTGAACAGAGCTGTGCTAGCTTATAGCAACAGGCATCTGCCCTGTACCCTCTTGTGAGCCATAGTAAGATTTGCTTACTAAGCCTTGAACATTGCTGTGTTCTGCCTGATGCATTATAGACAGCCTTTCCTTGAGCATATGTGTCTGGAGGAACAGAAAAGGCAGGATCTGCCTGAGGTGTTTGGATGGTTCCTAGGCATTAAATCTATTTAGTCACTGCTTGAAACTAAATATATTTGAGGGTGGTTTTGAGGACTTTAGTTTATTAACCAGGCTTTTACTTAATGCTGGTTACGCTTACATTCAATTAAAAAAATTATTTGCACTATTGTCTCTTTGGAAAAAAAGAATTGGCTGTTTTTTCAGATATAATCTCCTCTTAATTAGTAACCAAGAAAGATTCATTATTGTCTCTTGAAGCTAAAGAAATGTCAAAGGTATGAAAACATTGACATTTTGTTGCAGGGTGATCTGTGATATAAGCCAGTCAGCTGCCTGAAGGCAAGCTCCAAGATTACTCATCCAATTCTGTTGCTGTGATCTGGTATTGTGGCATACGATGCTGTGAGTCACCCCCTTCCCTGTCAAGATTCACACAAACGACTTTGCCCTGTATATCGTGTTTATAACAGAGTCGAAACAGGCTAGAATCCCAGAGTTGTTTGTGGTGTTGATTTTAATATCAAAAGCTTATTAGCATCTGTATTTCTTTTAGCAGTGCAAAATTAAATGCTGCACATTACCTGATCAGAAGATGCTGAGAAAAACAGTATGAAATCATTTGGGTGCAGTCAGTTTGGATAGCTCAGAATTGTCTACATGCCCTAAGAAAAAATTATTTCTTCTAAATTATTCTCTTTCCTTCCTTCTTCCTTTCACCTTTCCTGTTCAAATGTTTATTTTATTACATTCCTTTCCAAGTGCATTGAGAAGACAAGATGAAAAAATCTTCACTTGGTGAAAAGACCTCTCCTTTCTCTGTGTCCAAGATATCCATTCTTCTTGCTCACCTCCTATGGACTCTGGCTACTGTCCAGCTGTAGCTCTGTCCTTCAGCCTTGTGCTGCCTTTAAGCTTACCACGGCCCATATTTTTGAACTTGCTTGAATGAAACTATATAAAGGCAGACAGTTGTCATCCAGAATGTAGAATCAGCCTAGGTTTCTCTGTTTGCTGGCCAGGACAGACTGTGGGATGCCCTCAGCTTGTTTTACCTATTCTCCAGGCTGTCTGAAACTGTCACAGATCACAGTGGGACGGCCATTCCACTAGCACATCTCTTTCCTTTTCTCTGAGTATATGTTTTATAGACAATAAATACTTCTGGGCATTACTCTTTTTCACAAAAAAAACCCAGGAAGAATAGCTTTTTTTGACACTTTGAAAAAAAGCAAATTTAGTTTTCTGCATTTCTTTGTTATATAAGGTGGTAAGAAATGATCTCTAGCACTACAGCAGTGAGAATCAGCTGGTGGACATTCCTTCTCCACTAACCTATGACCTGGCTGGGCACATAAACCAGTGCTTTAAAGCAGAAAGGCTTCAGTATCATTAGAAAACATGTTTCCTCAAACATCCCTTTTGAATTAGAATGGATTTTAGGATCAAAAATCACCATCACTTCAGCCTTCACAGAGTAAGGAAAATTCTACTTAAGCTACAGCAAGACTTTACTAATTTCTCACTAATCTGTCCTTAGTCTTGTTGTTTAGCCTGGAGAAGAGGCAACTGAGAGGGGACTGCATCAATGTCTGTAAGTATCTGAAGGGAGGGTGTCAAGAGGACAGATCCAGGCTCTTGTTGGTGATGTCAACCAATAGGACGAGAGGCAATGAACAAAAATTGATGCACAGGAAGTTCCATTTAAATATGAGGAAGAACTTCTTTACTGTGCGGGTGACCGTGCACTGGAACAGGTTGTCCAGAGAGGCTATAGAGTCTCCTTTACTATTCAATGTGTACCAACCCTCAGGTTTTGTTTTTCAGGACAAATGAGAACTCTTTCAGTTTTGAATGGTGGGGTTTCTTCAGAGTGGAGGCAATGCTATATTTCTCTCAGCTTCTGAACAACTTTGATGACTGCAAGCTGCATCTTATGCCCACAGGAAAGGGATTTACATCAGTTTCCATACCTTTCAGCTGAGGAAGTTTGGCTCCCCACAGATGGCAGGTTCCAATGCAGTTACCCATGCTACCACGTTTGTGTTCATTTTTGCAGCGGTGAGCCTTCCCCCTGCCTCTCAAGAGCCCAGAGGCAAGGAAATCCCATTCAGTATGGCTGCGTTTTTGCTCAGCCATTGCTGAGGGTTTCACTTGGTGTTTGTGCTCTTACTGCCACTCAGAAATGCTCAATTTTAGTGGCTCGTGTCTCCATAAGACATTTTGAGAGAGCTCTCAACCACTTACCACTAATCATTCCCCACTGTTCCCTTGCTGGAAAAGAGACATAGCTCATAGCTGCTATGGCAGCAGGTGTGGCTTCTGCCCTGAGGAGGAAAGGAAATGAAAACAGTCAGATCATCCCAGTTTCTGCAAGCCAGGAGTCACAGATACATTTTCATGTGGCTAACATTTGCATGGGAAGCTCCCACAGACTCAGTTTGTGAAACACATCCCATGCCCAGACTTCTCTCCATGTCTCCTCTTCCTCACCCAAGCTTCATACTCAAACCTTGAGCTTGGTTATCTATTTAATGTTCAAAAAAAGATATCTAGGAACATCCTCGAAAGCTTCTTGCCATGTATCCAGGTCTAGATGCAACCTGCAGGCAGCCTCAAACCTGGAAGGGAGCCAGGGCTCACAGCAAACCCAGGCTGGCACTGACACATGTGACAGGGATGTAACCAGGAGAATGACAGCACCAAATAAAAAGCAGCAGCTCACAGCACAGCTTCCAGTCTTCTTCTGCCTCTCTGCAGCCTTGTATGCCGATTGCAAAGAATGGGGTGCACACCCCATAGCACACCCTAGCAGAAGGTCAAAGTGAAAACAATCCCTTCTGAGCTTGAGCTGCTTTTGGCTCTTCCTTCTCCTGAAACCTGGTCTCTGGAGACACCCAACTCCTGCAGCCAGCCCTCCATCCCTAGGCCTGTCCACAGCACTGCGCTCCTCTCCTTTTGTCTTCTAGCTGAGCTGTCAGTCCACATGTTGCTCAACAAACCCTCCTCTCTGGGGCTTCTGTCCCACATCCCTATGGCCTCAACCCTGGCGCAGTGCATGAGGCCTGTGCACTGAGTCACTGCAAGCAGAACTGGCGATGCTGAGCCCCAAGGATTTGTCCAATCCTGACCATGCCAGGTACAGAGAAGAAAATAACTCCACTATCTTTCTCAGAGAAGGCTGCAGCTTCTTGTCTTCATTATGTGTTGTTCTTGTCATCAGCCTAAAAACAGGCAGGAAAGCAGCCGAGCCTAGCTTATCAAACGTGGCTGGTAAGAATATCTTGTGATTTAAAACCTTGGCACAGCACACAGAACAGGCAAGTGCTTCCACTGTTTGAATTTCCCCAGCTATTTTGGAAAGAGGCTGGGGGGACCAGTCTCACCCTGAAGCTGGGCATGTGTGAATGTCTTGCTGAACGCAGGCCAAAATTTCCCTAGAAGAAAAAGGCAGAGTTTGTATAAGCATGAAAACCGAAAAACCAAATCTTTATTCTCATTTCCATAAAGCATGGAAATGAGGAACAAATCAACAGTAAATTATCTAGAGATGAACATTTGGATTCAGATTTCATTACCTTGCACATCTGGTTAAAACGAGGCATGATTGATTGCAAGCTCTAAGGAGGTGTATGGGCTTATATTAAGTGATTAGGGAGAGGAGTCTCCTTCCTCCCCCAGTCACTTTGTTTCCTGTTTTAATTTCATAATGGCCAGTTTGAAATTTCTACAAACACTAATGGGATCTGTTTTCTCTTGTGGGAGTTCATTCCACCTTGCTTGATAAACGAAGATCTGAAAAGGTAGCAGCCTTTAGCAGAAGATTGATGGTACAGCCCTGGGCTCAGTCTGCTGGGATGGACTTGGCAGCACCACAAAGGGCAACTGTCTGCCTTCATGGGGAAGATTTTATGTACCCAGAAAGACAGCACAGCATTCATTAAAAGTCACTCTTCCCTATTAATAAAATGGCTTTCAGTAAGTGGGTGGATAGCAGAGCTGAGCACCAAGCATCTGATGGTGACATTAAGCACCTGGGAGTGGGGGTGGCAATGCCAGACATGGGTTGCTCTGGGGAGCTGAAGGTGCTGGCATCGTTCCGCCACCAAACCTTGTCCTCCTGTGCCATCCTTTCCAGGCCACTGCAGTTCTCAGTCTGCCCATGGACCCCACATAAATCTTTATGCCCCAAAACTGCAGGGCACTACTGCCTGCAAAGCCCCATGGGGGACACGTAGGAGTATTCCTATGTGTTGCTTTCCTTCACAGCAATTCTCTGCCCCTAAATAACATGACTTTTAAGCCTGATGTTTTAAAAGTTGCCCAAAAGGCAGTCTTTATCCTCCTGGGGGGACACTGGTGGGATAATATTTGCATCCCTTGTCAGGTGCCTGAGAGTGCAGAAAAGCAAAGGTAACTCCAAATAACCCCCCTGTGTGTTCTTGTTTAGTCCTGGCAGAAGTTCAGTTGGTGGTGTTAGGTGTGTGAGTGAGAAATCAAGCAGCCATGGGTTTCATGTGGTAGCTAGAGCTGAATGTATTCAGTTACTGCTCAAGCCCACACAGTTACAGGCTGTGGAACAGATACATGCATAATTCATATACTTTTAATTAAATGGTAGCATCTTTCAATATATTGCATTTATTGTAATTACATTTATCTCTCCACACCTTTTGACCTACTGAAGCATCAAATTTTCTTTCTTTCAGTTACAATATGAGTATAAACAACACTAATTGGACTTTAGCACTAGACCTACCAAAGGAGACCTAGAGCTGTGCCAGGCTGTCCCCACTGGAGAGAGCAGCACCGGAATAGGATGCCAAGGACCATTCAGGGAGATATAAGCTGCCTGAGCTGACCCATAGCTGCAAGGCACAAGTCCTGCATGTCCTAAAGCTCCTCCCTGTGGCTTGGATGCAGTGTTCTCAGAAGGGTTTTCAAGCAAGCAAAGCTGCCCTGCAAGAGCTTTATTCAAGCAGAGACCACTGTGCATCCAGGACTCTGCAAGGTCAGGATGTTCAAGGTGAACAGGTTGGTAAGGACAGTGGATTTGGGTTGGAAGACATGGCCCTTGGAGATCAGCTGAGTGCTGCATGAAGATTTCTTTCAGAAGAAGGGCATCCCTAGAAAGTGGAGCCGGGAGCTTTTGCCATTGAGTTCACAGGCCATGCACACAGCTAGGAGGAGATGTGTCACCTCTGAGAAGCAGGCTGCTGAGACCCACCATGGCACTCTCTTCTCTGCCAAACTCATTTCTCAGCTTCCCATGATCTTATCATGGGACCTATTGAGTGCAGTCAAGAGTCAGCCTACTGGTACCTCCCAGTGTTTGGGTCTGCTGGGCCGGGCACCATGAACGGGACACAGGACTGGTAGTGCAGGGTTTTGTCATTGCACTAATGCAGCTTTTTCAGAGAGGGAACCAATACCATGCTACTGGGGGAGGATGGGAAATCCCACAAGGGGAGAAAGAGGGCAAATTGCTTGAAAACATCCTTCTGAGTGTCAGACAAAGGACTTTTCCCCCTCCAGGAAGGTATTTAACAATTCTGGATTGTTAGACGCTGCTCTACAGGCCTGGTTTTTGTTTTGTTTTCTTTTTCTCAGTACAGAGACACAAAGGAGGAAAAAGCAATTAAAAGTGTTTCACTGAGATTTAATGGTATGTTTCTCAATTGAGACCCAGAAGTTTGTTACTGACTTCATTGCCAGAGCAGTAGTTTGGGTTTGGCAGGTCAGAAGTTATGCAGTTAAAAAATACAAAAAACAAAATATGAAAAGAATGATGGAAAGATGAGAACCACCCAATTTGGGCTGCCCTCATGATTTATTGCCACATAATACATAGCAAGACTAATTCCAGATCTGTTGCTTTGGGAGGAGAGGACTCAACTGAGAGCACTTGGAGGGGATTAACAAGTTGGCAGTTTGGCTTTATGAAGATATGAAACCTCTTCCTCTTCCACCATGTTCCCCATTTCTTTCCAGTGCTTCAAAGTTTAGCACAGCAATATGGAGCAGCATAGCCAAAGACCTCAGGGATAAAGGGATGGATCCATTGCTGCCCTGCAGAAGTATGAGGAGGAGATGGAAGCTGCAAAAATACACTGTCTGAAGCAAAAAGAAAGAAAGGAGAGAAGGAGAGAGGGATGGAGGGAAGGAAGGTACTTTTGGTCATTCTTCTTCAGGGTGCCTCCATTCACGAAAGGTCTTACCAGTTAAAATAGAGTTTAACCATCCAAAATATGAGAGTAAAATCACTCACTTCATGGTTAGAGCAAATGACAGTATCCCCTCTTTAAAACTACTCCTCTGTGTCCTTCCTGCCTCTGGTTCCAGGCAGAAGCTTCACCGAGGCTGAGCAGTGTACCCACGGATATTTACTGGACTCGAGGAGAGCCCCCGCAGCCATGGCTGATGGCAGACCCCCACCAGGCAGCTGGTCCCTAATGGCAGATCATGTCATGGAGATTTCCTGGTTGGCAAGAAAACCTGTTGTGCTGTAATGCTTATCAGACACTGGTCCTGGGACAACAGAAGGGGAGAGAGAGAGATGAGTGAGACACAGAAGACAGGTAAAATTTACTGAGGGTCATGGAAAGCAAGGGCTTGCGAGGGACTTCAAAAAGGCAACAGATTTTCAACAGGAAAGCCAAAAAAGGCTACAGGTGCTTGTATGGGAGCCAAGGGGCGCTCACAGGGGTGAAGGAAGCAGGCCCCCATGAATCAGTCTTGAGAGTGAGTGCTGAGCAGAGGAGGGAGAAGGATTAGCAGGATGGCATAGAAAGATATGAAGGGGCTGAGAGGCAGATCATTAGAGGAGGTACCTTCTGTTCTCGGTGGCTTGCAATAACCAGGGCAAGCTGTCAAGAACCCACACTGAGCCTTGGCATGTTGAGCTGGGAGTGAAAAAATGCTCTTGGTTGCAAAGCTAAGTCAGCTCCAGCACCTCCCCTCCCTGATTTCATATGCCAGCAGCCTTGGTGGAGGTGCTTCTCGGGGACTGTCATCCTTGTGTTGCCACAAAAGAGCTGTGAGCCAGTGTGACAAGGGCACTGCCATGCTCATTCAGCACGTGTACTGCCAAAGGCACTGACTGCAGCTCTGCTGCAGACCTTGCTCTGTTCCTTGTGCAAAGACTGGCCCTGTGGGGTTTAGTCAGCTTTGGAGGGCACAGGTTTGAAACTCCTTTGCAGGAGGGAGGAGTGATCAGTCTCACAGTGATGTCCCTACCATTAAATCCCTAATTTTGCACACCCAGGTAGAGGGTAGCTCACACTGACCTTCCTCCCCAGAGCCTCGTGCATCTCCTCATGCCCACACAACATAGGCACAAGGCAGCCTCCAAAACCTTCAGAGCCTAAGCTCATATAGGTGACTCTTACATACACAAGCACCACAGCTCTCAGCCTCACCAGCCCCAAACCCTCCCTGGGTGACCCTGGAGCTGCAAACAGGGTCTTCTCAGCTCCCATCAGGGCAACACACATCCCAGCTCGGACATAGATGTTGTGTAAGCCACAGCAAGGAATGTATGTCCCGGGTGGTGTTGGCATTCCCCCCCCTCTTCCAAAAAAACCCCCATCCAATCCTTATCCTCTCCCTCCAAGCCACCTTATGCCCTTGCCAAGCCTGGCACTGCTCGAGGAGGGCAGTGGCCAGAGCAGAGCAGGAAACGGTTAGCAGAGAAATCACATTTTTGTTGTTGTTTTTGAAAGCAGCAAGGCAAATAATTAAAAAAAACCAAAAACTTGAGTTCTTCACATCATTGAGGCCCTGTGATGCTAAGCATCACTGACCAAACATCTTTTAAGAAAAGAATTTTTGCTATGTTTTCCTTGGATTTCCACAGGAGTTTGCTAATGAAAGGCAGAGGAAGAACGATGTCAGGGGATTAAGTGGCTCTCTGCTTGAAGAGCTGAATAATCAGTGAACAAAACAGTAAAGATCCATGTGGCTTTTATGTCTCACTGCTATGCTAGATACTCTGATGGCAGAGCTGCGCAGTCACTGGCATTGAATACCAAACACACACTGTAGAAATGCTCCTTAAAAAATAACATAATTAGTATA